TCCCTGTGCCACTGGCTGCAACACAACCCTAAAGCATGATTGATCCAACCCCATGCTTAACAGTTGGACAGAGGTTCTTTTCATTAAATTCTGTGCCCCTTCTTCTCCAAACGTACCTTTGCTCATTCCGGCCAAAAAGTTCAATTTCAACCTCATCGGTCCACAGAACTTGTTTCCAAAATGCATCAGGCTTGTCTATATGATCATTTGCAAAGTTCAAACGATGATTTTTGTGGTGAGAACGTAGAAGAGGTTTTCTTCTGATGACTCTTCCATGAAGACCATATTTGTACAAGTATCTCTTTATAGTGGAATAGTGTACCACAACTCCAGTGTCTGCCAGATCTTTCTGGAGTGATCGTGCAGTCAAACGTGGGTTTTGAATTGTTTTTCTCACAATCCTGCGAGCTGTTCTGTCTGATATTTTTCTTGGTCTTCCAGATCTTGCTTTAACTTCCACTGTTCCTGATGACTGCCATTTCTTATTTACATTCCGAACAGAGGATATTGACATCTGAAATCGCTTTGCTATCTTCTTATAGCCTTCTCCAGCTTTGTGAGCGTCAACTATTTTCAGTTTCAGTTTTCTAGACAACTGCTTAGAAGAACCCATGGTGCTGATTGTTGGGGCAAGGTCAGATGAGTCTGGGCATTTAAAACCTTTGTGATTGACATCATCTGGTCTTCCCAGACGATGATTGAGAACAATCCATGACACTGGCAGGTCTCAGCTTTGCAAAGGGGCAGTGCATGCTATAAATTCTGCAGGGTGCCCAAACTTTTGCAGACGCAATTTTTTTGTTTTCTGTTATTTTGAAAGTGTAAATGATGGAAATAAAATCTAACTTTTGTTGACATATTATAAGAATGTCTAATCTGTAATTTGATGCCTTTTGGAGATTTTTCCATCTTTCCTTGGCTTCTTTATGCACATTAATACAAATTTTTAGCTGGGGTGCCCAAACTTTCGATCCCCACTGTAAGTGCATTACAAATTTTGTATTGTCTATGAGATGTTTAAAAGTTATTAAATACCTGGAGATCCACAAGTCACCTTATAAAAGAAACTCTTCCTGTTTGTTACTGATCATGCCAAGCCTCATAACAAATATGTTGTAGTGTGGTCAGTTTACATTCATGCATATGGCTTGAGCACAAAAGGATGCTATGCAGACACATGACATGCCTGTGGACTTGAAGTCAAATTAAAACTGCTATGCCCCCTGTCCAACTCTGCTGTAGCAAGTTCAGACTGCTGTAGGCAGAGAGTGGAAAGGGCTGTTTTTCATGCCTTTATCCAGGCTTACAGGCTGGGGATGTTTCAGATGTCTCCATGGAGCAAAAAGAGCTTCTAGGATGTCCACAGGAAGCTACATTGCATTTTTTTAGCCACGCCCCCAGCCCTCTGCAGTGGGGGGAGAAGAGGGGACCAAACTGTCACATGACTGCTGATGAAAGTGGCAAAAATGTTTTTTGCAGTCACTTTTTATCATTGAAAACTAGGCATCATAATTGTTTGCTGTATGAGGTCTGATATCATTATGAATTGATATTACTTTTCAAATACTTTGACCTTTGTGTTACGCTTGAAGTGGAAAGAAGGTTCCTTTCAAAAAGTAACAAATTTTATAAAGTTTGTAAAACACATGAATTGTTTAATTATATTTTATTCACCCCAACTAAACAAAAATAGCAAACTCCTAAGCACACTCACTGGCATTTAGTCAGAATAGTTGCTAATGACCCTCTGATTATCATTCCATAAGTCCAGAGGACCAACTAACCTGACCTTATATACTCCATGTGGAATGTAAACAACATCTAAAGCCAACATTTCATATTCCTGATATGTACCTGCTGTACTTAAAACGGAGTTCCAGCTGACAAAAAAAAAATCAGCAGCTACAAAAACTGTAGCTGCTGACTTTTAAAATACAGCCACTTTCCTGTTCCTCGGTCCAGCGGTGTCCTCACCACCGCTGGTTTCACCGGCTGTCTTCTCTCCCTGGCGCCGGCATTTTTTAGTGTGGGCACCCGGTTGTGACAGCTTGCGGCTTCACAGCCAGGTGCCCACTGCGCATGCGTGAGAAGCGCTGCGCTTTGTGAATGACCCTGTAGTCTTCTGGGACCTGTCACGAGTCCCAGAAGACTATGGGGAGTGAGAGAGGGAGGAGGACAACTTGCGCTTCTGATTGCCTAGGTGACCACAGTGGAAGTGTTAGTGGGTACCTGTTAAATTCGGGTAACTGCTCCCCAAAGGTGCCAATCCTGAATGGGGAGCAGGGGACAAAGCATTAAAGCGGAACTTCCCCTTTTGAGTGGAACTCCGCTTTAAATGAGGAGAACACACCATGGTCAGTTCTCTAGATGTGCTGGAACTCAGCCTGCTCTCCTCCAATGATCAGACATGTCCTGACACACACCCCTGCACAGCCTTTTACTGGGAAGTCCAGTGTGCTACAGTATCACATCCCCCATTTCTTGCCGAGAGCTGCAGCTGAGAACAGAGGATATGTGACCACTTTTAAAAAAGGGAAAAAAAGGCGTTTATAATGTTTTTTCATATCTATGTATAAATGTTTTGCCTTTCATTTCTATTTAAAACAAAATGGGCCCTTTCACACTGGCGGACCATTGTTCTCTATGGGGAGGCAGATGTAAATGGACATGTGGGGGTTCACACCCACCTGCAACAGATCCGATCCTCTAAAAACAGATGGATGGGGATACGTTCTCTATCAATCTAGCAGATCAGATGACCGCCTCATAGAGCACAGTGGGCTGTGTCCGTGTCTGCTCTGCACAAGCAGATCAGACACAGACCTGTCATTTGCCTGCTCAGCGGGGATACATGGACAGATCCCCTGCTGAGCAGGAGGATCTGCTTGGTTGGTGTCTGCCCTTGTGAAAGGGGCCAATGGATTGTTTTACAAGGTGAGGGTTTACAATCACTTTAAGGCATCAGTGGTAAATTTCACTTACCTTGCCTACATCTTTTTTCAACTATCAAGTTGTTACTATAGGAAAACTTTGACATGTATACCCTTATGTATATTATGTTGAACATAACATGCTGAACATGCATAGTTGCCAACTGTCACGGATTAATTGGGACAGTCACGATTTCTAGTAAGGTGTCCTGCTAGAGCTCCTTCCCAGCCTTTGTTCCAGAAGCTGAGTGGTGCTTGAAAGCAGCTGCACTGTCATTGTTTCTAAAGATATATACAGTCGGCAGTGTATCTACTTAGAAGCTCTGAATTTCTTTTCTGTCTCCCCCAAGCAGTCTCTTACATGCTTGCGCCAATCACCAATACAGAAAGAGCTCAGAGCAGAGTTACTGCTGGCCTCTGCTGATTGCAAAGTGGTGAGCTGAGCCAATGTTCTAAAAGTCTGCGGAGGTAAGCTGGCAGTCTGTCAGGTCAGAACACAGGAGGACTTCTTAACAGGACATGAGAAGGGTGACAGGGAGGGTCGGAGGAGAAAGTGAGTGTGTGCAGCCCCCCCCCCCCCCCTTCCTCCCCCACAGACACAAATTACAAACACCTCTCATGCAGGAACACATTGGGGTTGATTTACTAAAAGGCAAATACACTGTGCACTTTGCAAAGTGCAGTTGCACTCCGCAAGTGCAATTGCTCCAGAGCTTAGTAAATGAGCAGGTCTGCTGACTTCCATCATCCAATCATGTACAAGCAAAAATGCTGTTTTTTTTTTATTTCCTTGCACAAGATTGGGTATTCTTTGCAAAGTGAAGCTTTACCTCGTTTACTGAGCTCTGGAGCAATTGCACTTGCAGAATGCAACTGCACTTTGCAAAGTGCACAGTCTGTTTGCCTTTAGTAAATCAACCCATTGTGTCTATATAGGCATCCCAAGCACTCTGTACGTCCAGATATTGTGAAGTTAATTCATGGCCATGTGTTATTTATAACTATGTGTTATCCAAATGTAGAATGAAAATTGTAAGCTTAGCACATAAACTTACTATCTGTGAGTAAATACAGAAAAACAACCCTCAGTTAAATAGAGCTAAGCTGTTTGCATGGGAGCACAATTGTATGAGCGTTGATTATTTAGAACACAATGTGTGTTTATTGAGAATTATTTTGTAACTGCTCACAGTTAGGCTTGGCTCACACATACAGGTGCAACCAAGCGCAAGCATGTTTTTCATGCGTCTTGTGTAGGGCAGCCCATTCATTACAACGAGCTGCCCTATTAGTGAGCAACACAGACAAGAAGCCACTGAATCTTTTCCAAAAACGTGCCACACCAAACCACAGCTTGCTGCAGCACCATGTAGTTTGGCGCATGCATTTCCAGATGTATGGTGTGCCATCAACAATAAGTCATGTAATGGTTGCATTCGTTTTCTGTACTGCTCTCCTGCACATGATACACTGTCATACATTCCACATTCATCTCCTGCACAGCCTGCCATCATTCCTTCCACTCCTGCACTAAATACCCACCAGCATACTCTTTGCCTTCCTTGCCTGCACATAACACCATACCCTGCATATTACTCTCCTATACATACTGCTCGCTGTCATATCCTCCAAACTCCTCTCCTGTACATACTGCCCAATGTCATACCCTCTACACTCCTCTCCTGTACCTACTGATCACTGTCCTACCCTCCACACTCCCCTCCTGTACCTTCTACCCACTGCCATACACTCCACACTCCTCTTCTGTCCATATGAACTACACATTCCTCAATGTTCCTGCATTTATTGCCCAGCATCCTCCACACGGCTTCCTCACACATATGGCTTGCTTTCATACCCTCCACACTTTCCTCCTGTACATACTGCCCACTGTCATACCCTCTACACTCTTCTGTACCTACTGCCACTATCATACCCTCCACACTCCTCTCCTGTACGTACTGATCACTGACATACCCTCCACACTCCTCTCCTGTACCTACTGATCACTGTCCTACCCCCCTCCACACTCCCCTCCTGTACCTTCTACCCACTGCCATACACTCTCACACTCCTCTCCTGTACATACTGCTCACTGTTATATCCTCCACACTCCTCCTCCTCTACATACTGCCCACTATCATACCCTCCACACTCCTCTCCTGTACATACTGCCCACCGCCATACCCTCCACACTTCTTTCCTGTACATACTGCCCCCCGTCATACCCGCCACACGGCTCTCCTGTACATGTCGCCTTATGTCATACCCTCCACACTCCTCTCCTGTACCTTCTGTCCATTGCCATATGCTCTGCACTCTTCTCCTGTACCTACTGCCACTGTCATAACCTCCACACTCCTCTCTTGTACATACTGCTCACTGTTATAACATCTCCTCTCCTGTACATACTGCCTACTGTCAAATCCTCCACACTCCTCTCCTGTACCTTCTGCACACTGTCATACCCTCCAAACTCCTCTTCTGTACATACTGCCCACTGTAATACCCTCCACACTCCTCTCCTGTACTTACTGCCACTGTCATAACCTCCACACTCCTCTCCTGTACATACTGCCCACTGTCATAACCTACACACTTCTCTTCTGTACATACTGATCACTGTCATAATCTCCACACTCCTCTCCTGTACATACTGCCCACTGTCATACCCTCTACACTCCTCTCTTGTACATACTGCCCACTGTTATAACCTACACACTCCTCTCTGGAACATACTGATCACTGTCATACCCTCCACACCCCTCTCTTGTACATACTCCTTGCTGTCATACTCTCCACATTCCCCTACTGTACCTTCTGCCCACTGCCATAAACCCTCCACACTCCTTCCTGTACATACTGCATACTGCCATACCCTCCACACCCCCTCTCCTATACATACTGCCCACTGTCATAACCTACACACTCCTCTCCGTACATACTGATCACTGTCATACCCTCCACACTCCTCTCCTGTACCTTCTTCCCACTGCCATATCTTCCACATTCCTCTCCTGTACATACTACCCACTGTCATACCCTCCACACTCTTCTTCTGTACATACTGCCCACTGTCATAACCTACACACTCCTCTTCTGTACATACTGATCACTATCATACCTTCCACACTGCTCTCCTACACATACCCACCTGTACATACTGCCCACTATCATACCCTCTACATTCCTCTTCTGTACATACTTCCCACCGTCATACCTTTCACACTCCTCTCCTGTTCATACTGCCTGTACATACTGATCACTGTCATACCCTCTACACACCTCTCCTGTAGATACTGATCACTATCATACCATCCACACACCTCTCTCCTGTACCTTCTTCTCACTGCCATATCTTCCACACTCCTCTCCTGTACATACTACCCACTGTCATACCCTCCACACTCCTCTCCTGTACCTATACTGATCACTGTCCTAACCCTCACACTCCCCTCCTGTACCTTCTACCCACTGCCATACACTCCACACTCCTCTCCTGTACATACTGCTCACTGTTATATCCTCCACACTCCTCTCCTCTACATACTGCCCACTATCATACCCTCCACACTCCTCTCCTGTACATACTGCCCACCGCCATACCCTCCACACTTCTTTCCTGTACATACTGCCCCCCGTCATACCCGCCACACGGCTCTCCTGTACATGTCGCCTTATGTCATACCCTCCACACTCCTCTCCTGTACCTTCTGTCCATTGCCATATGCTCTGCACTCTTCTCCTGTACCTACTGCCACTGTCATAACCTCCACACTCCTCTCTCTGTACATACTGCTCACTGTTATAACATCTCCTCTCCTGTACATACTGCCTACTGTCAAATCCTCCACACTCCTCTCCTGTACCTTACTGCACACTGTCATACCCTCCAAACTCCTCTTCTGTACATACTGCCCACTGTAATACCCTCCACACTCCTCTCCTGTACTTACTGCCACTGTCATAACCTCCACACTCCTCTCCTGTACATACTGCCCACTGTCATAACCTACACACTTCTCTTCTGTACATACTGATCACTGTCATAATCTCCACACTCCTCTCCTGTACATACTGCCCACTGTCATACCCTCTACACTCCTCTCTTGTACATACTGCCCACTGTTATAACCTACACACTCCTCTCTGGAACATACTGAGGGCCAAAAATCACTGTCATACCCTCCACACACCCCTCTCTTGTACATACTCCTTGCTGTCATACTCTCCACATTCCCCTACTGTACCTTCTGCCCACTGCCATACCCTCCACACTCCTTTCCTGTACATACTGCATACTGCCATACCCTCCACACCCCTCTCCTATACATACTGCCCACTGTCATAACCTACACACTCCTCTCCGGTACATACTGATCACTGTCATACCCTCCACACTCCTCTCCTGTACCTTCTTCCCACTGCCATATCTTCCACATTCCTCTCCTGTACATACTACCCACTGTCATACCCTCCACACTCTTCTTCTGTACATACTGCCCACTGTCATAACCTACACACTCCTCTTCTGTACATACTGATCACTATCATACCTTCCACACTGCTCCTCCTACACATACCCACCTGTACATACTGCCCACTATCATACCCTCTACATTCCTCTTCTGTACATACTTCCCACCGTCATACCTTTCACACTCCTCTCCTGTTCATACTGCCTGTACATACTGATCACTGTCATACCCTCTACACACCTCTCCTGTAGATACTGATCACTATCATACCATCCACACACCTCTCCTGTACCTTCTTCTCACTGCCATATCTTCCACACTCCTCTCCTGTACATACTACCCACTGTCATACCCTCCACACTCCTCTCCTGTACCTACTGATCACTGTCCTAATACCCTCCACACACTCCCCTCCTGTACCTTCTACCCACTGCCATACACTCCACACTCCTCTCCTGTACATACTGCTCACTGTTATATCCTCCACACACTCCTCTCCTCTACATACTGCCCACTATCATACCCTCCACACTCCTCTCCTGTACATACTGCCCACCGCCATACCCTCCACACTTCTTTCCTGTACATACTGCCCCCCGCTCCCCGTCATACCCGCCACACACGGCTCTCCTGTACATGTCGCCTTATGTCATACCCTCCACACTCCTCTCCTGTACCTTCTGTCCATTGCCATATGCTCTGCACTCTTCTCCTGTACCTACTGCCACTGTCATAACCTCCACACTCCTCTCTTGTACATACTGCTCACTGTTATAACATCTCCTCTCCTGTACATACTGCCTACTGTCAAATCCTCCACACTCCTCTCCTGTACCTTCTGCACACTGTCATACCCTCCAAACTCCTCTTCTGTACATACTGCCCACTGTAATACCCTCCACACTCCTCTCCTGTACTTACTGCCACTGTCATAACCTCCACACTCCTCTCCTGTACATACTGCCCACTGTCATAACCTACACACTTCTCTTCTGTACATACTGATCACTGTCATAATCTCCACACTCCTCTCCTGTACATACTGCCCACTGTCATACCCTCTACACTCCTCTCTTGTACATACTGCCCACTGTTATAACCTACACACTCCTCTCTGGAACATACTGATCACTGTCATACCCTCCACACCCCTCTCTTGTACATACTCCTTGCTGTCATACTCCCACATTCCCCTACTGTACCTTCTGCCCACTGCCATACCCTCCACACTCCTTTCCTGTACATACTGCATACTGCCATACCCTCCACACCCCTCTCCTATACATACTGCCCACTGTCATAACCTACACACTCCTCTCCGGTACATACTGATCACTGTCATACCCTCCACACTCCTCTCCTGTACCTTCTTCCCACTGCCATATCTTCCACATTCCTCTCCTGTACATACTACCCACTGTCATACCCTCCACACTCTTCTTCTGTACATACTGCCCACTGTCATAACCTACACACTCCTCTTCTGTACATACTGATCACTATCATACCTTCCACACTGCTCTCCTACACATACCCACCTGTACATACTGCCCACTATCATACCCTCTACATTCCTCTTCTGTACATACTTCCCACCGTCATACCTTTCACACTCCTCTCCTGTTCATACTGCCTGTACATACTGATCACTGTCATACCCTCTACACACCTCTCCTGTAGATACTGATCACTATCATACCATCCACACACCTCTCCTGTACCTTCTTCTCACTGCCATATCTTCCACACTCCTCTCCTGTACATACTGATCACTGTCATACCTTCCACACTTCTCTCTTTTACATACTGCCCACTGTCATACCCTCCACACTCCTCTCCTGTACTTACTGCCACTGTCATAACCTCCACACCCCTCTCCTGTACATACTGCCCACTATCATACCCTCTACACTCCTCTCCTGTACATGCTGATCGCTGTCATACTCTCCACACTCCTCTCTTTTACATACTGCCCACTGTCATACCCTCCACACTCCTGTACTTACTGCCACTGTCATAACCTCCACACCCCTCTCCTGTACATACAGCCCACTGTCATATCCTCCACACTCCTCTTCTGTACATAATGATCACTATCATACTCTCTACACTCTCCTCCTGTACCTTCTGCCCACTGCCATACCCTGCCTACTCTCAAATCCTGCCTACTGTCAAATCCCACTGTCATATCCTTCACACTCCTCTCCTGTACCTTCTGCCCACTGTCATATCTTCCACACTCCTCTCTTGTACATACTGATCACTGTCATATCTTACACACTCCTCTCCCGCACATACTGATCTCTGTCATACTCTCCACATTCCCTTCCTGTACCTTCTGCCCACTGCCATACACTCCACACTCCTTTCCTGTACATACTGATCACTTACATACTCTCCACACCCCTCTCCTGTACATACTGCACACTGCCATACCCTCCACACTCCTCTCCTATACATAATGCCCACTGTCATAACCTACACACTCTTCTCCTATACATAATGCCCACTGTCATAACCTACACACTCCTCTCCGGTACATACTGATCACTGTCATACCCTCTGTAGCAATCATGCCACAGAGATGGACGCGGTTCAACCATTATGGCTCCAACCTCCATCTTGGCAAAGGATCATCCATCTTGTACAAACATATCTCCCCTCATTCTCCCCCTCCCTCTCTGAGAGTCACAGTGACATTTGGTCTGTGTGTGTGTTGGAAGTGTCACAGGCCTGCCAGGGCACAGCAGTGAGCTCTGAACTATAAACCATCTCGGAGCTGGGTGCCAGGCTGGCTGGGAAGCTGAGCAATCTAGCACCTCGTAAAAAGATAACCCAAGCCTTCCCCTGAGTTCAAAGACATTCCAGAGGAGTAAGGAACTAGATAACACTTTTAAAATCCATTTTTCCCCTATGTCTCATATTTTGGAACAGAAGAGACTTATATAAAAAACCAGGCCTATCTTCAGATTGCCCACGATCAGACAAATCGTTTGATAGGTCACACTCCCTGACTGGAATACCTAGGAAAGCAGAAAATTACATCTCTTGAACCCTTCAAGTATGTATCTCATATTTCATATGTAACCATTCCTCAGTTGCATCTGCATATTAATCTACCCGCGGGTGGAATGGTACTTGTGCCTAGGAAAAGTTATGAGCCAAAATATGAGTTAGGAGAGATTTTGGTTCTAGTTTGGGTCTCCGCCCAGACAATCCCTCCCCAAACG